ACTTGTACAAAGCAAGGGTCCAAGTACCCAATGTGACATCCCTGAAGATTGAGAACCTGACCCCACAGGACAGTGGGTGATACAAGGCACACGGCAGGTTAACTGATGGAACAGAATTTTTCCAAAATTTCCACCTCAAGGTCTATGGTAAGTGACACCTTCTTATCCTAACCTCATGGCTTCCTCCTTATTTTGAGCATAGACATTTGGTCAACCAAATTTTGCAGGACTCTGTTTGGATTCCAGTCACCAAAATATAATTTCTCTGCTAAAATGGGGTGTGTTTAGTACAAACAAAGAACAAACTGAGATTTGTTTCAGAGAGACAATGACCTCAGAGATTTGGGGAAAATGGGAATTTGGGGATATATGCAATAATGTTAAAATAGGTCTAACTTTACTTAATTTGTATGTTAGTTTTCTATTGGTGCTGTAGGTAATTTATGCACATTATTGGCTTAAACACCACAAATGCATTATCTCAATGTGCGGTATCAGAGATCAGACATGGTTCTCCCTGAGCTGAAATCACAGAGCACCAGGGCTGTGCTCCTGTCTGCAGGCTCCAGAGGAAAACAGCCCATTCTCTCACACTGCCAAAAGCTAAGTGGCGACCAGAATTGCTCAACTTGGTCCCCTTCCTTGGCCTAAACCCGCATGGCTGGGCTGCATCTTACTTTCACTGTGTCCTTCAGATCTGCTCTTTTCTGTGTTTCTGCCAGTGATGACCCTAGTGATGAAGCTGGCCCATCTAGATTATCTGCAGTAATCTTGTTTTTCACGGTCAGCTCTCTACTGCATAACCTGGTCCTTGTTGCTGCCCTGCAGCTCCAACCCAAGGCCAGGCTCGCTCCCACAGGACTCCAGCATTCCAGCTCTCCAGGCGGGAGAACTGTAGGAGAGCATTTACTGCTATAACATTTAGGAAATCTGCTTCCCCGACTTTGTTTCCTTACAATTCCTCTGTGTACAGGGAAGCATCTGACACGAAGAGCAGCCTTCACAGCTGGAAGTCCCCCGTGTCTTCCAGGGCTGGCTGGTGAATCTGACTCTTGTCTTCCTGTCTGGAGCACAAGTCAGGGCATATTCTAGCCATATACGGAGCTGTTACCCTGATCATGACAAGTGCATCTCCACAAATGTCTCTGCTTTGGAGAGATGGAGCTTTTCTGTGTCCTCTCAGAGATGGTCCGATGTCCTGCTCTGTGATGCCAGTGCTGCCCCAGGCAATGTCTCAGCTGGAGCTGCAGGAAAGGAAAGGTTACCGCATCAGGAGGACCTCTTCAGTCTCAGACCTTTTCCCATTCCAGAAAGGACCAAATTTGTTATTAATAATGATCCAGGGAAGGAGGAATCCAACCATTCTGTTCTTATGGAAAGATCTGAAGACTTGCTTAGTTAGGGAAATCACATGAGGCTTCTCATTGGATACTGTCACTTGCTCAACATTGAGCTTGAGGCAAGTCATGTTTTATTGATAATTTGCTCCTTCCTTCCTCATAGGACAGTTGCATGGGTTGCGGTGAGACGGTGAGAATGTGTGACATGTGAGATTCTTCTTCTTCCTCTCTTCCCCAGAGCCTGTGTCCCCCCACTGATCCTAGTCAAGGCTTTGTCCATTACACCAGGCTGGTGCAATGTCACCCTGGACTGCAGGGCCACAGGGGCCACAGAGGACCTGAATGTGACCTGGGAGAGCAAGGGCCTTCCCAGGGAGCTGGAGCTGAGAGGGACACCAGGACCAGGCCCCAACCCCTGGGCCCAGGCTGTGAGCCTGCCCCTGAGCGAGGCCAACGCCAGCCTCAACTGTGTGGTCAGCAACCCCATGGACCAGAACAATGCCACCTCAGGACTTGGTGACATTTGTTCATGAGGTGAGTGCTGAGCTGGGTGTGGTGGCACATGCCTGTCACCCCAGCACTTGGGAGGCTGAGGCAGGACGATCGTTTTGAGTTTGAGACCAACCTGCACTACAAAGTGAGCTCTAGGCCGACCTGAACTTCATAGTGAGGAGCTGTCTCAAAAAGACAAAAAAAAACCAACAGAACACCAGGTGAGTGCCAGCTCTTGGCCATTAGGCTGTCAGGAAGCTCAGGGAGCAGTGAGTCTGAGTCGCCCAGACTTTCCTCCCTGCCATGTTCTTTAGGACCATCCACCTGCACATGGTCACACCGTGCAGAAGTCTGGGGTCACATCCCACTGACATCTGCCTGTAAATGTCCCTCACATCCCTGTCCCTCCCTGCTGGTCCCGGCAGCAGCCATCCAATGTCTCTCCCGCTCTGGGTACAGAGTGGGCTTTGCAAAAGCAGATCAGACTGTGGCATATGTCAGGGTCATCTCTGCATCTGACCTTCAGTTACTCCTGTAGGACTCAGGGCTCACACGTTCTCTGCCCACGTAGTCCATTCATGAGTACCCTTCACACAGAACTGCTGCTGTAGCCCCTCAATCTGCACTGCCACTGAGAGTCTTGAAGGTGTCAGCTCTTCTAGGCAGCTGTGCAGGACAACCCACACTTAGTAACTGTGCACTCTTGTGTTTGAATCCTGCATAGAATAGAAATCCTGGAGATCAGGGTCACGTGTTTGCACCTTTTCAATTCTCCCCACAACAGCTCTGGACAATGTCTGTGCATTAAAGGGGTTTCATTAAATGCACAACGGACCTGGGACCTGTGTGTGGCCTCCTCTTCTCTGACGTTTCTTCCAGAAGCTGCTGGAGAATCTACTATGTCACAGTCAACTGTAACCCCTAGGCACATTGCCCACACACCTCTTATTCTGAATACTCAAATAAATTTCTCTACCAAATATGGCCCAGGATACACTCTGGACTCCCCTCTTGCCCTCCTTTGACCCTAGATAGTTAGCTTTTCCCTCCCTGCTAGAATAATCTAGAAAACACCCACTTTCTTGCCAGACTCACTTACCCAGGACCGTCTAGAGAGGCCCTTCCCCTGCCTTGTACAAGGTGAAACCTCAGTCGCAGCGAGATGTCTCTGGCTGGTAGTTGATATTTTCTTTCTTCCTTCCCTGAGGAGAAGCTCCCACAGCTGACCTCATTGGAGGCATCTTCAGGGGAATCACAGCGGTGCTGTTCTTCCTGGGAGCTGGACTGTGCCTGAGGAGAACTCGAGACAAAAAGAAGATGATGGAAACAGAAGTGGCAGGTTGCACTTCTCCTTATGGGCAATGACCTCCTCTCTCCCAGTGCACCCTGGGCTTTTCCCTCCTGCACTTTGCTACCAGGAAGTGGGTCCTGCAGAGGGG